TCGTAAAAAAAAAAAAAAAAAAAAAAAAAAAAAATGTGGATCTTGGACAATATATATACTTTATTGATATCAAGGATAAAACGCTCATTTTTTTCAAACAATTAACAAAAAAAAACTATATTCTTGGCACCACAAGTTAATTTAGCGATGAATTATAAATGTACAAACACGCTCAGTACAATTCCTTAGATTTGTACTCCTTGATGTGATGGCTATATATACCTGCTCGGTGCTATTAAAACAAAGCTTTTTAATGGTTCCCCTTTAAATCTAGCAGTAAATGTATGATTTTTTTCTTTTTAACGTATAACAGCGCCACTTGAATACTCATACAACCACCTTAAAGTAATACATTAATGTAAATATACATAATACAATTCCTACATATATCCTCAAGAGAAGGAAAAAGACGTGCCGATGTATAGAGTGTAAGCGAAAGTGGAGAAATCAAATGTACACATAAATATAATTATATACCCCAACGGTTGGGAAACACGCTTTACAAAGCCATAAAGAAGCTCCATATAAAATACAGGCGCGTGCCATCACACTATCCTCGTTCTCGAAGTAATTTCAGTCACCGTTCACCATCAGCTGTAAAATATCAAATTTCCCCACACCACAAAGCGCAAAACGCCCCCAGACTGAATTTCTTTTTTTTTTTTATTACACTACTCCACAAACCGTTTCGTTCGACGGAACCACACATGCACTCTTGATTCCAAAGCGTAACGCGAGTGCGCTCGATCGTAATTTTCGAAACGGCCCATCACACCCCCACCCACCCCGCATACCAATGGCAGGGAATTCATCGGTGCAGTAGTCCCCTCTTCCACGACTCCCGAGTTCCATCGGACATTTCCATTCGAGAAAGTGAGTTCAGAGTCCCACATACATATACACACACATGCACACCTCGAACGCAGGAATTTCATTCGTGGAATATTCAATCCTGAGGGGGATCCTATATATATAATATAATGTCGTTGGCATAAATTCCAGAGATGGGTCGAGTAGGCACGTATACAACATGGGGTTGATAATATTTTGTTTTGACGGGCAATAAACAGAAGTAGAAGAACACCAGTACAAACGAGCTATTGTACATCAACGCGGAGTCAACGACTCGGAGTACAGTCGTTGATTGTTTCCTCTGCTCGACATTTTTTTTTTTTTTTTTTTTTTTTTTTTTTTTTTTTTACATTCTTATTTAAAACACTAGAAAACGTTATATGTTTTTATACTTTCAAATGTGCTAATGTTATCGTACAGTTGATCAAAATTTAATACAAAATCGTAAATAAACATATTATATAATGTTATTGAGAAATCCAATTGATTTGGNGACAAAAATTTCATCAATGAATGAGGTTTTTTTCTGGATGAGATTTGTACTGCAATAAACCTACCGATCTATCTACCGTTTCCCCCTACTGTTATTAAACCCAACGTATGGCTAAATACACTTTATAGTGTCAAAATAGCCGTGTCTGAGCCCTCAAGGGGCGATGATGAATATAAAAAAAAAAACTATATGTATATGCACGCGCAGTCGGACGTGCAATTTCAAAGGTGGTACACACGTGGTGACAAAGTCACTCTGTACCGCCACGCGCACCCGTAAATCGTCGACAGGCTC